GGGTTCTGGAATATCTGCAAAGTGGCTACAGAAAATGGTACACCCCTGGAGCATGGCCTCCTGGGCCTCAAACATATCAGTCACGCCAGAGATCGAGAAGGGCAGATTGACCGATTGTTTGTATTCTCATCCTTCAGTTGTTTTCCTTTTGACCCTTAGCATCTCTCCAGCATCTTGCAGTGCTCCCGTGGCACCAAGCAATCCATTTGAAACAAGAAGGAAAGTGTTACCCATTATATAGAAGGGGCAGAATTACTGAGAACGTCTGGTCCCGACAAACCGTGATCATGGATGTTTGTCTGATCTAAAAAGCCATCTTAAATATTAAAGAATATCATCATTTGAGTACTGGAAGAAATTAAAACTTACCCATAATTATTGTTAGCGAAGAACTGTTCAGCTGGTAAGGAACTTGAGGATTAGGGAATTTGGCATGAGAAAGTTAAAGTAATGGACAAACAAAGGAAGAGGGTGTTGTGTGCATACTCTTACTCTGGGGAGTTGGGTGCCGGTCGTGCAATTTGTATTTGAACAGCAGGAGAGCCAGAAACAAACATCTCGCACACTCAGCGGAGGACTAAAGGCCGGCACCACCAAACACCACTGTTGTAATGCCTTGGAGCCACTTGTCGGGTCATATTATAGGGAAAAACTTGGAATAATTACTATTAAAGTTTACTGGATATTAAATCAGCAAAGGCCCATGTCCAACATTGGGGGTCTTTGGCAAAAACAATCCTGTTGGTAACAGTTTCCACAGGCTGAATTTCAGGGGATGGAACAACACCCGTCGGCACACATGACAGCATAAGCTATTTGAGGCCAGCACCCTGAAATGGCAGCACAGGGCACATCTGCAGTTTCCATGCTCCCTTTCACCCTGGGCATGGAGCATTTATGAGAGGGAAGTCGGGTGGAGGGGACAGCCACAACTCACCTGGCAGCACGTCCTCTAACTTCGGCATTTCCCCTGCCCCAGCTGCCCCCAGCCCTGTCTGCACTCACTCTGCACTGCAGCCCTTTGCACACTTAGCCAAGACAAGCAGGGGTACACTACTCAGCTGACACATGATATGCAGGGATTCTGGTTTTCTCTGTTTATAAATTGAAAATTCTCTCATAAAAGAAAAAAATCGCTCCCAACCGTAGCCCCCAACCCATCCCTGCTGGTTCCCCACACTCCCCTCAACAACCCCTGGATCTGCTGGTGACATCTGGTCCAGGAAGAGACAAAGGCTTGTGGCAGGACACTTTCACCTCCCTGGACTTCCCAGTGCTGACCTCAGAGCAGCTGTCCTTAGACCAAACACTTCAGCACAAACCTGAACATGGAGTTGTGCAACCAGAAATCATCTGCAGGCTGGGTTGTGTTACGCACGGTCCACACAGGGACTGTGCAGTCTTCTCCGATTAACCGGATTAGCTGCTGT